CTGAAAACCAATTAGTAGGTTTCTTTTTAATTAATAAAACCCCTGTTTTATGTACTTTAGTCTCCACCTCAAATCTGTTTTTTATTTTTATTTACATATACTGTTTCCTGCCCTCACAAAACTGAAATCAGTATTGAAAGAGTACCTGTTCCTTATTGAGAATGTAATATCAGGGAATAGTGTAGTCAGTGTATGAAAGGGCTAGACCCCCTCCAGAGTTCTGATTTCTCTTAGTAGCTGTTAAATTCATAGGTTTAATTTTCTATATATTTTGTAATTACATTGTTTATATTTGCCTTTTTCACACCTGGCTCCATACCTTGACGTTACCATTCTCCAACACCAGAATCGCCAGAACCAAAAATGTGGTGGTGACTGTGAACATGAATTTCTATTTTTGTCATTTTGAGTTGACATTACATTTGAAAGCATCATGCCCAACCTATGCAGTTATTCCCAAATTCAGACTTTTAAGGGAACTTCTGATCAGTGTTTTAGAGGCTATTGGTTAATTGGGGGAGAGGGGATTATATAAAATGGAATATAACTAAAAATAACCCCATTCTCATGTCTCCTAGTAAGTTTATGATGAACATTTATGGCCAAACATGTGATGCATCCCCATCCTTTACACTGCTGTTCTCAAGTGCTAGGAATAGAAGGAGAGAGGACTAATTAGATAGTGTGTACTCATGTGGGGAATCTCATACGCTGTCTCCTGCCCCATTTTCCTTTCCTTGTTAAGCATTAGCAACATTAAAGCTATATAGCTTGAAGCAGTTTTATCACTTTGTAATGACGCTTTTTACTTGCATGGCCATGTACCACAACCATGGCCTTCTGAAACTAGGGAATGCTTGCTACTGCAGTTCAGGTTTGTTCACTGGGACATCACGCCTTTAACTAATCAAAGCTGTGGTGAACTAACAAGTGAGAGGGACCTCCTGTTGTCTTCTGCCTTCTTTTTACTTCACAGCTTCCAGAAGGAATGATTATAACAATAAAAAAGCAGCACAGCACTTAAGCCTGTGTCTATAGGGACTATGAATCAGATTGTTCACCAAGATGAATCTTAAGCTTGAAACAGCTTTTAATGAGAGAAACACATTTTATTTATTTTTTATTTGACTATAGCTATCTTATATGAAATGGCGATTTAGGAACACACTGTAAAAATACTCCAAGCAACAACAAAAAAAGCCATAGATCTTACTACCTACACTTTTTATTACAACATATTTTGCATATCTAATATTTCTAAGTTTACAGGCAATACTGTTCATAAAATGTGGGGTACTATTTGTTCAAAAAAAAGTAAAAATAAATAAATAAATAAATTACACTATTCATGGATAACTTGCAATCTAAAACATAAATGTGCACAATCTAGCTCTTAACTACTGTACTTGATTTCTATGTGAAAAGGCTCTCTTGGGCATTAGGCATCTTCTCTTCTCCCAAATACCTCCTTCAAATTCACTTTTTAAAAAGTTTTTCAGTGCTAATTAATTCATGGTAAAATGCATTGTAGAATGTCTGCATTGCTTTGCTGTTTATATGGTGCTATTGGTACATTCATAGTTCTAAAATGTATTGCCTGTCTGGTTATGTGTGTGCTCCTGCTTAGTTGTCCTTCAGTCACAAGACTGATCTGAAGATAGCATGATGATGGGGTGTGTGTGGGGGGTGGAGGAGAGTTGGGAGGAAGAGAGACTATTAAGTATTGATTTGTACATATACTTGCATGACTTTGGGTCATATACTTTGGGTCAAAGCAAATCTTGCTCATGGACAATAAACAGCCTGACATCTTAAGAAGCCATGTTCAGACCTTTTTCAAAATATGTTTAGCACTGATGATGAGTAAACTGATGATGAGTTTGTACATAGCCAGAACTTTGAGCCCGGACCTAGTCTTTAGTTGCTGCCTTGTATTTTGGCACTAGTTACAAACAAGTATTTCCTTATATACTGAAATCTCAAGCCAATAGCTTGCTATCATTTAACAGGGTTGCATTAGTTCAGTATGTGCAAAAAGCACGAGAAGTTACATTTTTGAATATATTAATATGCATTTTAGGGAGGTAGAGATCAGAACAACAAAGGTGCATATTCAGTGTTCAACATGCCTAATTTATTTTACTTTTTGTATTGTGAGAGCCTGAAAGGTCCTGCTTTTTTGGAGTTCTGCGTTAAAAAAAAAAATGTATGTACTGCTGATTCATTAATGTAATTATTGAAACAGAATCTTTGGAAGTGTCCCACGTACATGTGGTATTCAAGGGCTTTTGAAAAAAGGCAGTCAGAAGTAGTATGGGGTAGTGGTGACAGCACTGGACCTTAACTTGCCACATCTCTGGTTTTTTGAGGGCTGCTTGAAAAAATGAGACTTCCTTCTACAAGAGATGATATAGCCAAGTGGTGCTTAATTGGCTTAGTAATTTCTGTCAGCATTACTGTATTAGCATGTTGTAATTATTGTGCTTGGTAATTTTGGAAGCCCTAATCATAAAAGCACTACAACATTAACTATCTTAAAGATCAGGTAATGTAACACTAATAATGTAAACCTTTGTTATTAGCTACTCTTGTTGGTGTTCTATCAGATATCCTTCACACTGTTAGTGTTAACACTAATAGAGTAATTAATGTTTCTCTTTCACAAACCATTTTATGATGAAAGCAATAACTTAGTAGTAAGAAAGGTAGGAAGGAGTTTTAGAGTTGGATTTGTTATGCAATTCTCTACAATTTCAGAAACTGGTTGTTGGTGTTAGCAGCATCCCAGTATATGAATCATGTTAATGGATTTATAGGATTTGAAGGAAAGATCCTAATTAAAACCTTGTTGCCAAATAAGTGACAAAGTGCTGCTTTACATGCGTTTCAGGGTGGGGGGGTGGGGGTTAATTAGAACGGCTCTCAGGAGCCACGCTAGAGCACCCACACCATCTTGTGTATTCAGCATCCCACGTTTCAAAATGGCAGCAAGGTGCTTTAGTCCCCCCCCCCCCCCCCCCCCGGCCGCACCTTTTTGAAACATGGGGATGCTGAATACACATGACACCATGGCTGCTGGAGTGTTTTAATTGGAATGCATCGGAGCAGGTGTTGCGCAAGTGCCTAGGTGTCCAAAGTTCTTAGAAATAGCTAAAGGGTCCAGGCCAGTTGTGGATATACTTGAAGATCAGACCTGATGAATGACAAAATGTTTATTCCGTTGCTAACTGTATATGAGACAAATCTACAACCAGAAGTATGTAGTGGTTTGTTCAGCTTAATTCATGCATTGCAAACTTTGGATACATTTTGTTGCATCTCATTTAAAGATAAGATATTGCCAGAAAGGGAATCTCTGCATTGCATGTGATTAGGGAAGGCATCTGGTTTCAAAAATGCTTTCAGTATCATTTCAGAGTCTTAATTTTTAACTAAGAGCTCAAAGCCAGCCATTGGTCAAAAAGCAATGAGGCCAACCAAACGTAGTACATGGCATAAGCACTTCTCTCATGTACAGGAGCGAAAAATCAGAAGTAGCTAGCAGAATAAATGTCACTCAAGTGATGTAAAGGTAGTTGGGAGTTAATGGCTATAATTGTTTTTCAACCACCACAAAGATAGAAAACATTATAGTTTCGTATTGTGGGTTTTCTTTTACAACAGTATATGATCTGCAGACACTAGCATCAAGTTTAGAGTGCTTAATTTAAAAAGAGTGGATTCTGTCACATGGCAGATATTAAAAAAAAAAAGTATGACGTGCATCCCTGACTGAAGTGTAATGATGTAATGATTGAATTTCCAGAAGTTCAGAACTTGCTGTCTCTAACCTTTTTGTGGGCAACCCCTGGAATCCCAAGTTTCTCCCCACTGGCCAACTATTTGGACCAAAGATCAGGCTTGAGGTTGCCCTGGGATAATTCCTTATCCCTGCAAGCCTCAGCTTTACTACCCTTATACTAGAGCCCATAGCTGCAGTGAGGGGATCTTTGCCAGCCCTAGGTGGCTTCCACTTTGGGTTTTGAAGTAAACATTAGGTCCTCTTTTTCGTCAAAAGGGCTAGCCTGGGTTGGCCCAGAGATCGCTCTTTCCAGAAGCGATCGGTAAGGAGACAAAATAGCGAAAGGATTTATGTTGCCAAAAAGAATTTATGAGCAAAACTAACAAGAACTTTGAAGACCGACAGAAAAAGAAAACAAGTACTTTCTTGCTCCCTCATCCGGCTACACACTAGCCTTCTTGAGAGTCCTGGCTGTTTTTTTAAGAGCTTGGCCTGCTACTTTGACCAGTGTTTTCAGAGATCAGACTTCCTGC